ACCGTATATCACCTAAAACAAATATTGTAAAATACAATCATATTGTTTATTACATGTTTCATTTATTTATAATTTTCAATTAAGTATAAAGGGTGGTCAATAATAATAGCACGTAAAATTTTATAACACGTACAATGCTGATCAAGAAGTTATTTAATAATAATAGGTTAAACTATTAAACTACATTATTCGTAGACAGCGATTCTTTACAAAAGAAAACTGTTTAGATATCCCTTAAAGGACACTCGTTGGATTAAAATTAATAGTTATAGGTCAATTACTACTTTTTAGAGATTGCTAGAGCAAATTTATACTAAAAACACATATTTAGCAAATTTGTCATTATTTACACTATCATTTATCTAAATTAGGTCATGGATTGAGAGTAAACATAATTTACTTAATTAATTGCTATTTTCCGCAAACAAAACGCGAAGCAGAGCGTAGTAAGAGATTGCCATCTTACTTTCGCTTCACTGACATCGCTTATGCTGGTATAACTAGGGTAATAACCGAACTTGGAACTGACGTATTCGAGCGTCTACACGGGAATTATTTTTACTTTACGGCTGGCAGCTTACTTTATAATGTGCATGCAACGTTTAGAATGTGTTGATAAGCTTTGCGGTAAAGGCGAACTAAATAATACCAAACTTTGCTCTCCAATCCGTAAATGCAATGTTGTTTAATTTATTATTTATTTTATTCATGCTTCCAGTTAAAATTAGGTAACTGATTAATGAGTTGTGTGAAACAAATTTTTCGCCATGTATTAAGACACAGAATTGTTTGTCTTGCTTTGCAGAGTTTCAGATGTGTATAACTCTAATAAATAAACATAACTTGCATTTTACGTTTTGGGACAGTCTGTAACAATAATTATTCGACTTTTGGGATAAAAAAATTAAATATAATTTTGGGTGTTACGGGTCCTGAAGTAAATGTCTTATCTAGATGAACCAGATAAATCCAGTTTTTATAAGGGAAAATAGTTTTAAAAATCTTTCATGGAGTGAGAGTGTGCTATTGAAGTTTTTAAAAAATGCATTCAATTCTCAACAGCAGCACACATTATAAATTCTTAATTAAACTAAATATTATTCTTATACTGTACAACGTTGACAAAAAATAAAAGTCTACTTTACGCAGTGTCTTAGTCAAAAGGCTTCTTCTTTAAATCAATGTCTTAAGTCACCAGTTTCATCAAACATACATAATATAATACAAAAATAACCATTACAATTTCCCCCAACCGCACATCAACAGTAACAGCACAAATGCACAAACAATCGAGGCAAAGGAAGTTGCAAATGTGTATAAAGGTAAATTAGCAGGACACAGAGTTAAGCCCCATAAAGTGACAGTGTGGATGTGAAGTTGCACAATTTGCGAGTTGGCGTACCTGTCAGGACTTGTAATCCTGCAGCCAAATTGAAGGATTAGGTCCGGGATTGGCGACGGATTGCAAATTAGCAGTTCTCTGACTCAGAGATTACCGTTCTGTCTCAGTCTCTGCTCTCTAGTCTCTACGGAACGCGTTGACGACAGCTCGTCTCTACGGGCTGCAAATGTCCTATTGATTGCGATTGTATTGGTTTCGCATGTTTTGTTAATTTGTTTGAGATTTAGACAGGGTGAGTCAAAAGTCAAGATCCCCATCTAATATTTTACTAAGTGGATATACACAGATATCCTTTTGGTGGTAGTTCAATCTTAGTTGGAAGTCTTTTTTTATTTTGGAAATTTTGAGTTTCCTCAAAAAATGGGGAATTTGGGGGACAACTTAAAATTTTTAAATGTAAGCCCGCTTCAAGTGACACCTTATTTTGAACTGTTTACATAAACTTGAAGAATGGTTAAAACCAGAGTTCGCTATATCTTCTCTATCCAAAATGATAGCCAATATTACCAAATTGATTTTTCTTATATTTTTAATGTGTAGACTCAATACATTTGACAAGCACCCATTTTGGATAGTGAACTCTGGGTTTCACTATTCTTTAAGTTTTTGTAAACTCTTCAAAATGAGATGTCCCTTTAAGGGGGCTTACATTTTAAAATCTTGAGTTGCTCCAAAAATTCCCCAACTTTGGGGGACACTCAAAATTTCCAAAAATCATAAAATGAAACTTCCTGCTAAGATTGAACGACCACCAAAAGTGGATATGTATATCTACTTTGAAAAATATTATATAGGGGGGGGTCTTGAATAATTCACCTTATATACAATTTTAGTTTTGGCAAGTATGGGAGAAAAATTCTTTTAAATAGGTAAAGTTAGGTAGGATTAAATTTCTCACTAACAATCGACATTTATGAAAATAAGCATTTTGGTAAATGTAGGCTATAATACAAAACTACAAAAACCTAATTTATCATGCTATAAACAAAATTAAATAAAATAGCCTTGGTTCATTTAAAAATAAAATAATGTTCACAAGAAATCAATAGTTCGTTACACAGAATCAGAGACCTACTATTAAAGCTTGCTTCTTCAAGAATTAGTTGAAAAGTGGGAAAACTCGAGTTCAAAGATATTTGTCATTATCAAACCATAAAAATAACTAAAAATGAATTTCTCAAAGGAACATTCAGCAAGCTTATGTGCTTTGACTTAAGTTCTAATAAAAAATTTTGAGTGAAAATATTATCAAACTTTTTAGCGAATTTCCCATATAGGGAATAAGCTATTACCGTAGTACTCATGGTAAGACCTGGACGCGGGACCAATTTTTTTTTCGTTTTGAGGTCCCTAGAGGCCAAAAACACCATCCGTTCAAATTCATATATATATATATATATATATATATATATGTGTGTGTGTCCGTCAGCACGATAACTCGAGCAAAAGTGATCCGATTTTGATGAAATTTGGTACAAACGTGTAAACCTACGTTTATTCGAACGAGTGCGCGATCCAGCATGATCGGACCATGAGAACGGGTGTTTACGGGGGGTTTTATGGGGTAAAAATAGGTTTTTCCCATTTTTGACCCAAAAAACATAAAATTTAGCAATTTATTTCCAAACCATTTTGTAGAGATTAAAAAAACGAATAATTTAGTATATTGAAGCGTTATTATGCGCCTAATGGTTACGGAGAAAATTCCAAAAAATTGTAAATTTAAAATTCCCATGTTATTCTTATGGAGAATGAGTAAACTGTTGTAGTTTGCTTGTTTATGAACATATTTTGATCAAATTTGGAAAATGTTTTTATTTTTTACTAACTATTGACATTTTACAAAAAAAAAACAGTTTTACCCTCCCTGATGCAGCAAACCTAAGTACTTGTTGAACTAATTCTATTTAAATCGGGAATAAATGTTATATTTTTAAGTTGACATTTCAGTGTAAATCCAACCAGTCAAATGGAAATTCGCTTAGTCTGCAGGTTTGCTGCGGCGGGGGTATTTTAATATTTGTAGATATAATATATTAATATATTAATATTTGTAATATTTGGTATCCCTAAAATTATTAAATAAAAATTTTTCAAATTGGAACAATTGAACAACGAATAGAGAATTTTCCAAGCCACATGCATCTACAAAATGTTGTCTTAAAACACAAAAAAATTCGCATGACTAGAATTTTAGTTTTTTGACTATCGTTTTTAAGTCTTTAATCTCAATCACTTTATTTTAACAACCATTTTATGACTTAAAACTGTAATTTCTAATAAGCACAAAGCAATTTTAATTTCATGCCTGTAAATCTTTAGAAGTTACTGGACTGTGACTACTTTCTACTTTACACATAATTAAATTTACTGATAGTATTATCAGAGAAACAACCTTTAATTGGTATCTCATAAGTTATATTTAAGTGTGATAAATACACAGTTTAAAACTAACACAAAACCCAAGGATATTTATTACTAAAAAACTAATTAATCAAGAACAATTGTAGTATCTATGATAAAACAATGCAAGTGGTGCAGAGCAAGTTTTAATTGGTTTGATGGCGTCGTCTGCTCCGGTTCCATATGCAGAATGATAATCAACACAACCAGCCGTATCTCTCTGTCTTAATTGGTTAGGATCTCTAGGCCAGTTTAACCTATCCGAGGGATTATCTATTCAACTCCAGGCCAGAGTCCAGTCTTGATCATTATAATTTTGGTAGCAATATAAATACATGCTCATTTTTTGACATTTATTTATACGCTTTATGTGTATTAGTATACAATAATTAATAACAGATTATGTAAGGTGATTTTGGAGGTTTTTGGGTTTTAAGAAATTAGGTAATCATTGTAAGGAAAGCACTAGTTTTTCTTAAACATATTGTTGGTCACGATGCTGTTGTTTAGATAGTGTTACTAATATTTTGATGACAAAATTTATAATTCGCGTTTTAGGAAAGGTTATGTGTAATAATTCTACAGTATTTTTGTTTGGAAAAGGTATTGTCCCCTCGAACAAATATGTTTTAACAAAATAATATTGCACTTCTTCTCTTGTAAAATAAATGAATAACTTCTTGATCAGCATTGTACGTGTTATCAAATTTACGGAAAGTAAATAAAAGAAACGTCTTATAACACTTAAAACATATATTTACGCTTATACTGGGTCTGATGATGATTGGAGTGTCCAATCGAAATCGATCACCACTTACCATCTTTTTTTTATATTTACCGTCTTGTGAGTAACAGTATAAGCGTAAATATATGTTTTAAGTGTTATAAGACGTTTCTTTTATTTACTTTCCGTAAAATAAATGATCGTGGTCAGTTATACTCAGTAATGATTTGTTCTACAGCTTTTCTAATTATAAAAACACTTTCTATCTTATTTTTCATCGTGGTTATGACGCTTTATTTCATTAGTCCAACAACTACTCTGAACGTAGAGACTTTCTTAGTCAATTTCTTGCTACAGTACTACCATATGCAAAATAACTTCTCTCTGACACAAACGTATTCTGTCTGGCAATAATCACTCCTGTGTCCAACGTCTTGCAACTGTTGCAATAACCACACCCTCTTGTTCCAGAGACCCGATGGACGTCATGTTCATGGAGCAGCACTTCCTACGGTCACCCCTTAGGCTATACTCCGACATGGACTCCGACAACAACTCCAACACACTTTTCTCCGCGGCGATGATGGAGAAGGCCCGGGCCCAGCTGCAGCTGTGGGGGCGAGGCCCCGGTTATCCAGGGGGCGAGGTGATGCTGCCCTACCCCGGCGCCAGGGTGCCCATGGGGCCGGGACTCTGGGGCAGTCAGTACCCGGGACTCCTACTGCCGCCTCCTGTGCCGCCTCCCCAGCAGATCACACCGCCTCCACCCTCCACGTCCGCCGCCTCCACCCCATCAAGTTCCTCGGGCTCGCCCCAGCCGTCCCCCTCGGACAAGCTGCCCAGACCGGCCGCCGTGTTTCCCACTCCCCAACATCGGTTCAGCCCCTACCAACTGGTGGCCAAGGGACGGGAGTCTGTACCTACCAGGAACTAATCCGTTATTGCGTCCTTAGTGGATTTGGAATGGAATTTTGTTTAGGAAATATTATGAATAGCTTTGTAAAAGAGTGATCATCTTATTGAATGCTTCTTTCGAAGCATTTAAAAAATCTTTTATCAAAATTTGAATTTATGTTTAGTTTCGTCCTGATTATTTGGTAAATTAATGTGTGATATTATGAGTTTAAGTGATAATGGATAAATTGCACATGGAATTGTTGATACAAACGTGCAAAATAAAGATCAAATTAAAAATATGAACAAAGTATCATTCAACAGAATAAAATTTAAACACAAACTCAACCTAACGTGTTGGAAAATGTTTTAAAATAAATTACAAGTAAATTATCAACTAAAATGATATTTCGTTTCAAACTTAATTTTAAATTAAGAGTTTCAATTATTATTCTAAACTTAAAAGAATGTAATCCACGTTTCTCGCAAAAAAAAAGCTTTAAACAAGGTAAAATAATTTTAATTTAATTTATAATTTATAAACGGCCTTGTACTTCCTGATTGTGTAAAGTGGTGTAAATATTTAGGATTTTTGTATGTGTATTAAATGTGCATGTATATACTTAATGTCCTATATGTGAACTTGTGTAACCCCTAGCAAACCAAAGACTCGTATGTACATAGTGTATCTATATTGTTTTTGTTGTTTCCTTTGTTAGATTTATTGACTGTAGTAAACTATCTGTATTACAGTTAGAAATTGTCAATAAAAATTGTATCGATCTCTTAAATTGAAAATATGTCATAATTATACGAACAATGTGTAAAATTATTAGTTTAAAATATCTTTTTTTGGACACATCAGGTTGAATTGAAGTAAAAATTTCCATTGGTTCAAAAAATGTATTATTGTATCAATCACTGTAAGTTATAGGTTAAGATTTTTTTCCAAAATGTCCTTATAAAATAATTTTATTTCACCTTGTGACGTACTCTATCCAGACTAATCTTTTGGTTAGTAAAACGTTATTTGTGATACTTTTTTAACAAATTATGACAACCAAAAATATTTTTATAAACTTAATTGTTTCTCCAAAATATAAGAACTAAGCGTTTCTTGTTGAAGTCTTTTAAATGCAGCACTGCAGTGCTAACCATTTTTACCTTTTTGTTATTTGTATACTGTATATATATGTTGTAATGTAAATACGATGTACGTGGTGTATTTATTAAATATATTCGAATTGTGTAAGACGTACCTGGTGTTATTTTTTACCCTGGTAATTAAAAGGTTTATTTGTGGAAGTTGGTATTAATATTATGATGAACCAAGTTTAAGAATTTCCAATATTCTTTAAAAAAAACTACAAAAACACAGTTTTTGTTTACAGATTTTTCCATAATGACATTTGAAAAATTAATATAAAAATGAATAACTTAAAACTTCACACCCTAAAGTTTAAGTCTATAATTCATATAAATTTAAAAATATTTTAAAACCAATACATTATTCAGAATTGTGGTGTAATTGAATTATATCTATCTATATAATACGTGAAGCCGTTTTTTGTTAACGCAACTCCTCCCTTATTTGTAGACCAATTTTAACGTTTAAGGTGTCAAAAGATTCGTCTCAATATGTAGTTTTGCAATAAGGTTTTGGAATTTAAAAATTCCTACTCTTAAGGGCGTGAGACCTTCTCAAAGGTCGGGTTTTCCCCATAAGAAATACATAGAACAAATTTAAAAACAAAAAACAGCTGTTTATAAAAAAGGGAGTAAATATTAATGTTTGTAATTTTCAGTAGGTTAACACACACTGACACTGACAGATCGAGATATTTCAAAAAATTTTGTACAAACTATATTTATGCCTTGACTTTGATAAGTTCAAGTAGTAAGATAATACCAAATCTTGGCGGACCTAATGTTTTTATTGTAAACTTTTGTATTACTCGCTCTACTTCAATTGAGAAAAAAACGCAAAATGGATTGTTTACTTCTAGGTTAGGTTGCCATGCCGGTTGCTTTGACAAACTTATACACAGTTTTTTTTACTGAATTCACCAACACAATCCAGACATTTCAAGTCAAAAATAAGAAGTTTCAAAAACTCATTTACTATTGAAATTTTTAGTGCCAATATTAGACCAAACATAAGTGAAGGAATTATAGTTCGGCCGCTTAGAAAACGACCTGCGCGCTAATGCTAAACCAGTGCTGGAGGAGGTCGCTTTCTAAGCGGCCGAACTATAATGTTTATGTATTCACCGATCGAGTAGTTACGGTCAAAGTTTGCTCATTTTTATGATTCAGGAAAGGCAAATAATATACGCTGTTCAAAAAGAGAAAATGAAAATTGCAATCGAAAACTTATAGCTACAAGAGTTATTGAACCTATTTTGACAAATGAATCCATACTTTCAAAACTTTGGGACAGGTATTAAGAGAAACTAAACTCCACAGAACAACGTGAGAACGTTCTGATGCGGGGCATATACTGTGACTGACAGATTACACGTTAAAATACGTTAACCAACTTTCAATGGTGTTGCTGCTTTAGCTTATTCAAAGCAGATTATGAGCGTGCAATTGGTATTTCAGAATTTGTGGGTAAAAAATGGAGCACATGGAATGGTTGATATCACCCCACTTTTCAGGTTCTCTACGGAGGAAATTTGTTTGATTAGGGGGATGTCTCAAACCAAATAAATAAAATGACCCAGCTCAAATTACTTTACACAGGTTATCAGGAAGGCAACAGTTTTCTTCAATTCTCAATGCTGGATAAACGTTTTTGAAACATGTTAACTCGAATTGTAACGGATCATTTACCATTCATTAGAAGTTATCAGTTAAAACTGAGAGCAGAAATAATGAAGGTGAGCCTTGACGACGCAAATCGAGATATTTAAAATTAGTTTCTAACAAGTGTTTAAATAACTTAAAGATGTAACTAGAATTACTCAAATTTAAGCATAGCGTTTTCCTCGACGGTTTCATACTATGCGGCTCATTGAGCCGCACGGGTTCTCTAGTAGTTTATACTACAGAATATATGGCGGGCTCAAATCAACAAGCAGCTTACATATGTGTAAACAGAAATCGTTTCAGTTTTGTTTAAACTAGCTAACTTTATAGACATAATAGACATTTTTCTCTACACATTTTGTATTTTAATAGAGAATAAAGTGGATTGGTTAAGCATACAATGATTACAAATACATAACAGATTGATTATTGGACTAAGAAAATTACTTAAGGATTCCTTAATGAACTATGGAATTATGGACTATCCACAAGTGTTTCTGAAAAATAAAAAAATAATGTAAAATAGAGACTTGTTCCTTGTCAATCAGGAAGTAAAGATCAATTTGGTTCTTTAGATTAATTTGCAGACGTGAAATAAGTGATTTTTTCAAAATCTGTCTTTCTAGTTAACTGTTTTTAGTCAAGGGGCAGAATTAGAGAGCTTTCCCATTTTGCGAGACAACAGTTTTGCCTGTGTCATAGTTGTTGGTTATGATCCCATAATGACGAGGTGTCACCGGAAGTAACGTCCATGCAGTTTGAAGTCCATAAACCTAGTTTATGTTTCCGGTAGTCGGTGTTACCAACAGCTGTTTCAGTCGTACCAACTTCGATAATTGCACAATTAACTGTCAGGTCAACGTGTGAAGTGGCACTAGTCGTCTGTTGTGTGTCATGTGTCATAGGCTGTATTTACGTGTCAAAAGCTACCTATCATTTTTGGTCAGCCATTTTGACTGTAGTTTCACTATTGATTATTATGGAATAATACATTATATTATCGTGTTTGAACTGTAGAGAGTGAATGAAAATGGACATGTTAAATTGAGCTACTAGTGCCGACAGAATGTGCTGTCAGACAAGACAATCTCCAACAAAAACTGTACATTGTAGCATTTTTTATATACATTAACTATCGTATAAATTATCAATTATTTAATATGGGGGACGTCACCTAGGTGCGTATTTTAACCCAAATATGAGTGAAGGATGAGTGTAGAATGTTCGTTCTCGTAATGTTCCAGTCCAGTGTGCTTAAACCCTACTGGACTGAGGCTGTTTTAGGACTACTTGCATATTAAATAAGTATAGATGTCCTCTTCAGCCAAACTAAGATCAGCTGGTATCAATTATTTGAGATGGGGACACCACCTAGGTGCGTATTTTAACCCAAATATGAGTGAAGGATGAGTGTGGGATGTTGTGAGATGATCTGTGTAGCTTTGTTACTGACTAAGATCAGCTGATTCATTAGTCACGATCATTATTTAAAGCCCAATGATCAGGAACAGCTGGGTTCCAGTTTCGAACCATCAAAAAAAGCTGCAGACTTTTCTCAGGATCGAACCGGGCGACCTTTTGATTGTTAATTGAAACCAATTAGCTACCTAGCCAGATATGTTTAACATAGTATCAACAACTGGGAGACAATAGAATTCTGACTTATTTCTCACGCCGTGAGTGTGTCATTAAAACTTTTACTACTTAAAATAAACATTGGCTACGACCGCTCCATGTAAAAGAAACTACCACCTTGGCAACTAAAAGTAATAGTTTTACCGTTGTTATCTACAAGTTAGTGTAAGTAAAAGTTAACTACAAGTATTTTTCTCTAACTTCAATGAAAATAATTTGCAAATAATGACAGAGTGTTTAAGATCACTCTATCTTATATTCATTCATTGTTAGTATTTTTTCCCGCATTTGTTGCAATCTCAATAGGTTACTAGAAACTCTTTATACAAGTTTTTTCCCCAAAAAGGAGAATCTTGAATCCATAAAATGATCAACTTTAGACTAAAGTAAGTAATTTTATTTTATTTCCAACGGCAGCAGCCAATTTACAAAGACAATCATGATGGTTGAATACAACAAGATAGGTATGAAAAATTTGATAATAAATATAAGTTAACAAAGATATAACAGGCTATAAATATCCAAAGCATAACAACAACAAAAAATAAGATTAACAAACAACAATAATTACTCAAACAAGTATTTTAATGTATGTAGTAATGATTGTTTCTTCTTTTTCTTTCCAAGAACCGATGTTTGTAATTTTTCTATATATAAATTCTAAATGGTTGCATTTAATTAATTACTATTGAATGAAACAAAGGTGCCTTGATGTTCATAGATAATAGGGGGTTAAGGGCTGGTTCAGGGATATCAGAATTACTATGGCCGAAAACCGATTAAACACCGGAAACACCGGACGTCTGTATCATTATTGAAACTTGCTTCATATTTCACTTTTCCTTAAGATCAGACAAATTTTAGGACAGCATTATGTCCTAAAATCGAGATCCTAAAAAGCACAGTTATTAAGATCTGAAAGTGAGACCGAACTATTAACATAAAACAGGAAGAAACAGGATGGTATAGCTTTGTGTAAAATATTCTTGGAGCTGGTATGTGAGAAATCTATCTATGTTTCACAAAAAAGGACATCTACTTGAATGCATAGTGATAAAAAAGGCCTAATCTGTCTACTTTGAAAGATGAAGACTTAAAAAAAAGAGTTTACCATAATAGACACTTCTTCGGTGGGAAAATTGGTTGGTTCCTTCATAAACCTTTGACATAAAATTAAGCGAGAGAAAAATACATATTTAATATGACTAGGTTGTAATAGGGGATAATTACCAAATGTGAACAAGACTAATACTTCCTGTACCTAAGCTTAGCCGGACGCAGTTTATGTAAGTGGGCTAACCGCTTGTCGTATGGAAATTTGTTATGTGGATTAGTTTGCTCGTTTATTTTTTTGTGAAATCTTTTTATAAGTTTTCCTCTCTTATTTTTTCTACAAAAATCAATCGTTGTATTGGCCTTTCAATATTGCAGAGAATACGTCTAGACTCAACTCTCATTCTGCGGTAAAATTCATAGCAAGTGTGTTTGTAACGATTAAACGTGTATCTATTAATTTGATGGTAAATTATAAAACTTATTCTATCACACAAATTACACTTACCTTGTGTAACAGCACAGATTAAAGGGAGGCTCTCTGTAAAGTGACAATGTACTGTCAAATTTGTGGTAATCGTTTAAGGCATTTTACCAAATAAAAATATAAAAATATATCATAATGAAGCTTCTAGATATTGTAGATTTGCCAAAAAGTATTGGTTTGAACGAAGTTCTTGCTGCCCACAGACAGATTTTCAAAGAGCCTTACATAGCTTACATGCTTCTAAATTTTAAATTTTTCAACTAA